GCGCCTAGGCCGCAGCTACATTTTCATCATTTTTTCGCGAAAGCTTCAGAAAAGTGGATGAGCTCCGGATCCGGTTTTTTGTTGACGCTCGTTTTCCCTTGCAAAAAACAATAGAAAATGAAAATTCTTGTTTTTACTTGATCAAATTGCAAGAATCCCTTGCAAAAAATAAGGTAAAGTGGACATTCGTGCGCGCAAGACGAAATCCTTCCAAAACCTTAGGTTTCGTAGCGATTTTAACATAAAAACATCAAAAACCCAATGGTTTTTTAAGAAAAAATTGTCAAAATGTCCTTCCGCGCGCTCTTGCGGATTCATAGGAAACACACCACTTTTTAAACATTTCTGTCAAAAGGGTCTTTGCGTGCTACTTCTTCAGGTGCTTTGAACTTCTCCAACAACGGTTGCGCGCCTGCGAGGGCCACCATCCCTTGCAAAAAATGAGACGAAGTGCACATGCGCGCGGCCGCCGCGCGCGCATGTCGAAATCCTGCCAAACACAATGGGTTTTCAATAATTTCAAGATGCGATGTTCAGAAAACATATGAAAACGCACTACTTTCTCATCCGAAAAATCTCGAAATCCATTCGCGGTCTCTTGATGAATCTTTAAAACCCGAACTGTATAACATCAGTGTAACACATGTACTTCTGTAATCGCATCCCCACGAATTTGCCCCAAAAATGTGACCAACTATCTTGGCACTGCGTACCATCTCACGTGTACCGTGTACCACATCATATGTAACAGATGTGATCAACCTCTGTGGGTGTGTACCCCACGCCAGTGTAGTAGCCAGGGTCGTCCGCACGCCACGAAGTGAAGTGTCCCAACGTCATAGGGCGGGAAGCTGGGTGTGGGTGGTCTCGAAGAGTCGTTTGGATATTTGGTAGAGCTTGAACGGCCCCCCCACGAAGTGGGGGTATTGGCTGGTGTCGCAAGAAAGCCCTGGCACTGGGGAGAACACTGAGCGTTCGGGTAAAATGATTGTTGTTGTTGTTGTTGTTGTTGTTGGTGTTATTGTTGTTGTTGTTTTTAGTGTTGTTCTTGTTGTTGTGGTTGTCGGTGTCGGTGTTGGTGCTGGTGTTGTTGTGGTTGTTGTAGTTGGTGTTGACGTTGGTGTTGGTGTTGTTGTTGTGGTTGAACATTATTAACTCTAAAGAATAATTGTTGTTGGGACCCCTGGTGCGCGGCCCCCCCGCCGCGCCTAGGCCGCAGCCTCATTTTCATAATTTTCGTGAGGGAGCCTCAGGCAAAACGATGTGGTCCAGATCCGGTTGTTTTGTTGACGCCCGCCTTCCCTGTCAAAAAACACTATAAAATGACATGTCTTGTTCTAACATAACCAAACTTCAAAAATCCTTTTTGCAAAAAATAAGGTAAAGTGGACATTCGCGCGCGCAAGACAAAATCCTTCCAAAACCTTAGTTTTCGTAGCGATTTTAACATTTAAAAAAAAAAATGTTTTTCAACAAAAAACTGTCGAAATTTCATCCCGCGCGCTTCTGCGGATTCGTAGGAAACCCAACACTTTTTAAAACATTTCTGCTAAACGGGCTTTTGCGAGCAACCTTCTCGAACTTCTGCAACAACGGTTGCGCACCTGCCAGGGCCATCATCTCTGTCAAATAATACCATACGGGACACATTCGTTTTTTCTTCGCGCGCGCACGCCGTCGTCGTCGGCCGCGGGGCCCTGAATAGTAGCCACGGTCGTCCGCATGCCACGAAGTGCAGTGTCCGAACGTCATAGGGCGGGAAGCTGGGTGTGGGTGGTGGCGAAGAGTCGTTTGGAAATTTGGTAGAGCTTGAACCGGCCCCCCCACAAAGTGGGGGTATTGCCCGCTTCCTATGAAGACCCTGGCACTGGTGAGAACGGAGTGTCCCCACGTGCTAGTAATTGTTGTTGCTGTTGTTGGTGTTGTTGTTGCTGCTGGTGGTGATGTTGTCGTTGTTGTTGTTGTTGTTGAATACCTTTTTCTAGAGATAACTCTGGTTGATATCTGGAAACGGTTCCGCGCGCTCTTGCTTCGACGCTGGCTACAGTCGCTCTGGAAACGAGGCTCCCGCTCGAGCGCTGGCTTCCTCACAACTTACCCCTAGACACCTTGGCCAGAGAGGCCCCCGAACTCAGGAACGGCGCTTTCGCTCGAGACCTCCTTGCAATTCAAGGAAGTTGGCGGGAGCCCAGCCACGACGACAAGGGCTCGTGCTCCATACTTCCTGACGATTTACCCCGAGAGCCCCAGACCCCCTGGCCAGAGAGGCCACCGAATTCAGGAACGGCGCTCTCGCTCGAGGCGTTTGCACCCTGTTTCTTTGACAGAAAATCTTGATGCTCAAACTGGGCCCCTGCCCCCCCGGATTACAACAGCAACGGCTCCCGCCTGAGACTTCCTCACAATTTACTCAAGACCCCTGGTCCTGAGACTTCCTCACAATTTACTCAGGATCGGTGTTCCCGCCTGCGACTTCCTCGCAATTTAGTCAGGATCCCCGCTCCCATTTGAGACGTCCTCACAATTTGCTAAGGAACGGCGCTCCCGTTTCAGACTTCCTCGCGCTTGAATCAACACTTCCTCGCAATTGAATTCAGACCCCCGCTCCCGCCAGATAACCTTTTTCACATGTTATTCAGGAAGTGCGCTCTCGCCTGCGGTTTCCATGTGATGTAGTCACACATCGCGCTTTCGACGCTCAACACGCTGCGCTAAGGACGCCGCTGCAATTTACTTAATATTCGCGCTGTCGGTCGCCACACAAAGGCATCCGTTTGAATGTCCCACCCGCCCAACCCGCCGGTCAGGGGATCGCCCGCCCGTCGTGGACTCCCGCCCACTTTAAGGAAGGGCGCTTTCGCTCAGGATTTCCTCGAAGGTTCACGTTGTTACCTTCCTGCTCCTCCTCCCTCCTCCCTCCTCCCTCCTCCCTTTCTCTCTCCCTCCTTTCCTCCCTCATCCTTTTGCCTCTCTGCCCTATCCCCTCTGCCTCCTCTCCCTCCTCCCTTCCCCTGCCGCCTCCATATTTTTTTGTTGTTGTGTTTTTTTCTCTCTCTCTCTCTCTCTCCTTTCTCTCTCTCTCTCTCTGCCCTCTCTCTCTCTCTCTCTTTCTCTCTCTCCCTCTCTCTTTCTCTACCTCTATTATACGCCTTTCTTTTTGTTTCTCTCTCTCTCTCTCTTTTCTGCCTTTCCCTGCCTCTAGTCAACCGCCCCCCTCTTCGCTCCTTCTCTCCTGGCGTGTTCCCTCTTCCTTCGTCCCTCCCCCTCCCTTCCTCCCATTGTCCCTCGTTTTCCCCCTCCTCTTTTTGCAAGGCCCCCACCAATTCCAATGGCGGGCACATGTACGCCCACGAGGGATCGTCCGCCCGTCCAGGTTTGTCCGCCTGTCTAAGCCCGCCCCCCCCTGCAAAGAGAATTAATCCCCCATGGGGGTGTCACCGAAGACAGAAACGGCGGGTATCGAGGATGTGGGGGATTTGTTTTGAATGTCACGCGGGCAAGTAAGAGCGAACAGTCTTGTAATGGTTGTTGTTATTGTGGTTGTTTTTTGCTGTGTGTTGTGTGCTGCTTGCTGTTGGTTGTTTGTTGTGGTTGTTGTTCCTGTTGCTGTTGTTACTGTCGTAGTTGTGAACATCGTTGCTGACCTTTCAGAAGATATGTGTCATAATATATGTGTATATCTGGTCCAGGACTTGGGCCCCCCCCCCTCCCCCCCAATGCTGATGCCATTGCCCCCTCCCCCCCGCGCGATGGTCCCCCCCGCCCCCCCCTGCATCGTCGTCGTCGCCGCCGCCGCCGGCGTCGCCGCCGCCGCAGCCGTCGTCGTCGTGGTCGTCGTCGTCGTCGTCGCGTCGTCGCCGTGGTCGTAGTCGTCGTCGTCGTCGTCGTCGTCGTCGTCGTCGTCGTCGTCGTCGTCGTCGTCGTCGTCGTCTCTGGGACCATACCATCTGGGGGGGAGGGTGGGGGGCCCCGAGGAATCCTGGGACCATACCGTCTGGGGGGGGGGGGGGGGGGCGTGGGCCCGGAACCCGGAGCAATCAATGATGTCTCTTTGCGGCATGATTCGTGGCCAGGTCCTTTCGATCCATCGCCCATTGTGCTCAAGTTTTTTCTGCTGAAAAGCTCAGCGGCGCAGGCTCGCGTGGGCCTTCTCCTAGTTCCGACCGCCCACTTCATATATCCCCCCACCGAGGCGGGATCGAGCCGACCTCGTGAGAGTGGACCTGCCGCGCTCCGCCCGCCATAGCAGGTGCTGGACATCGTTGGACACGCTGTCGTGGGCCCCCCTGCAGTGGTGACGGTCGCCCAGTCTGTTCGCGCCCAGCGTCACCCCTTGCAGGCTCGCCTAGCGGCGGGCGGACGGTGAGTCGCTGGAGTTCGCGGTGAAGCTCTGCTTCCTGAGTCTGCTCTCGGCTACTTGTTGGGAGGGGAGGTGGACGTCGCCAGACGACAGAGTCGTCCACTCCTGCTGCCTCGCCGGGTCCAGCGTCTCGGGAGTGGGTGGAGGCATGGCGGCTGTCAATCGGACTCTAGACGTGGACGAGCTGCAGATCCTCGTCCACTACGCGGACGATGCTGCCGGGCTGCGCTACCACCATCGTGTCTTGTTCACAAAGGTGGCCGCTGGTCGCTGGATCATAGGGACCCCCGACGGTGACGTCTATGAGGAGGACTTCCAGGGGGTCGAGGTGCAACCGCTGGCACGTAATGGAGCTTTTCCAGTGGATCTTGCAGGGGTGATGTACGTGTTTCGAGGCCCACAGCGGGCCGCTGCTCGGATCGCCACCATGCGAGAGCAGGCGCGAGGAATCGCGGAGGTGCTGGGCGTGGCTCCTGCACCGGGCGCTGGCGGAGTTGCAGGCTCTAGCTGGCGTGCGGCGGATCCTTCATCAGCTGACTTCGATCAGGTCATCACTGCTGCCGAGCTCGCCGACTCGATCGAGGATCGCGACGACGGTGTCAAGGTTTAGCGGTTTGCGCTCATCAACGGTGTCACCCAGCTGGTCGAGTTAGTGCAGGACACGGACCACGACGCCTGGTTCGCTCGGAAGCGGCCTGGGCTGCCCGGAGGAGCTTCGGGAGATTTGCGGCTGCTCGGCCATTTTCTGAACTCTGCTCAGCGACGTGTGCTACCGCTGGCGAAGGCAATGGGGCTTGTGACGCCTAAGGCGTTCGCTGACTGGCCTCATCCTGGGCTGGAGGCGACCCAGGAGTTCCTCGAGTCGGTGCTCGAGAACGGCGGGGGCTTGCAGGTGTAGCTTAACGCTTTCATGCGCAAGTCTGGGGTCAGCGAGAACTCTTCAGTGGCGCATTCGCTCCGGAACCTGGTCCACAACGACACAACACTTTCGACAACATGGCTGTGTGCTGGCTGCCGTCGCTCTGGTCGCCACGGGACTGCCTGCCCTCGCGCGCTCCTCCCTTAACCTCCCCCTGAGACTTCAGAGTCCCTCCAAGAATATGTTCTTCCTGCGATCTCCAAGTCAATCCAAGAGTCTGGGTCAGAGCAGCGCTGGGTGGTGCTCGTGGTGCCGGTGGTGCTGCTGGTGGCTGTCGTGGCGGTGGTGTTGCTGCCGTTGTTTTGCGCCGTCGTGGCTGTGGCCGTGCTGCTGGTGCTGCTGGTCGCCGTCGTGGTGCTGCTCGTTGCTGTCTTGGTCGCCGTCGTAGTTTTCCTCCGCCTGTGGCCGCAGTTGGGTGCTGGCTGCTGTCGCTCTGGTCGCTGCGGTGCTGCCTGCTCTCGCGGCGCCCGTGGCGAAAGTGCGCTCTGGTCACGAGCGGCGCGCCCTCGCCGACCCCCGCCCGCACCATCTCTCGGTCGTCGTCGTCGTTGTGCTGCTGCTTGTGGCGCCACTGTTGGGAGTCGCGCGGCTTCTTGTTGTCGAAAATGTTGTCGCGTTGCGGACTCGGAGCGGCTACTGGTCTACACTCAAATCTTTGATACCTAGAAACAAAAACATAACAACAACACTAAGTCTGTACAATGAGTGGGGCCTAAGTCGCGCACCTCCGCGAGGAACCACTGGACGCGTTGACGCACGGACAAAAAACGCGGCGCGGAGCAAAGAGGGGGAACAGAAAGAGGAGAAGGAGGAGGAGGTGGCCGAGGAGAAGGACGACGAAGAATAATAACAACAACAAGAAAACAAGTAATAAGAATAAGTGGGATGGGATAGCGACGCGCGTGGCGGCTAATTCGCGAGGGGCTGATCCGCATTTACCCGCAACGAAAAGGATGGCAGAACGAGGAGGTGGGAGTGGGAAGGTGGCGATAATGGCGCTGGTGATGGTGATGATCATGGCGATAGTGGTGATGAGCGGGTACTCAGCTACAGCGGCTGATTCGTTTTTTCTGGTGATTTTTTCCGCGCCCACGGCAGCGCCACAACCCTGTTGTCGCGCTTGGTGCACGATCCCGTCGCCCTGCGCGCCCCCGTCGGGCAACAGGATCTCGGACTGTTCCGTTCTAGCCCAAGTAAAGTCCCATCGGCGAGCGATGCGCCAGCGCAAGCTTGGCCACGAGCACCCCAAGAACAGAACCTACCGAAACGCACGCCCAAACCTCCACTGCCGCTCCTTGAACCAAACCACGCTGCCAGCGCTGAGCAACCAGCCCCGCCGCCCCATCTGCGTGGACAACGCAAAGCTGGCCAAACTTGTCGGACAGCGGCTGGCTCACAGCCACGGGCTCGCAGAATTAGTCAATCCTGGCGTTGCCCATCGCTGGGGGGCACCTCGACGAGGAGCTGCGGCAGCGCGCTCTTCTCAAATACTTGTTTCCTCGTGGCGTGAGTCAACGTCTCCTTCACGACGTTGTTCTTCCGTTCGCGCACAACGCTATCGAGAAATACGTCGCCCTCCTGGTCTCCCACCGCGCGCCGCTGATATAGTGGTGTTTCGGGACGATGGGATCGACGCGGCACGCGGCCTTGCGCGCGTCAAGAGGGCGGCAGACTGAGCGCTCCATCGTACCTTTCCTGGCGAGGGGCGTCGAATAACGCGTTGTCTCGTTAATGTGGCCCATGACTCCACACAGGCGGAGGGAGCTCTGGCGCTCAAACGGGACCTTGTGCACGGGGACGTGCGCAACGACACAATATCGGATGAATGGGCGCGCCGGCAAAATTCCCAATGCCCCCGCGCGGACAACGCCACTTGGTTTCCACGCCTTCTCAGGCCCGCTGAACATGTCAGCGCAGTGGGCCCTGGTTGACCCTCCAGGATACCAGTGCCAGTCGGCCCCAGCGAGCGTCTGGCGCAAGCTGAACGAAAATTCAGGCGCGCATTCCTCAATATTCAAGCCAACCTCAATATTCAGGACGCCGCTCGCCAAATGCATGCGCATGTTTTCGCACAGGAGGCAAGAACGCGGGCGCACATGGGGGTGGAGATCCTTCTCGGCCAGAGCTCCGTGCTCAATGAAAAGCCCATCGTCGTCCGCGCAGATTCCAGCGGCTCCCATCGCCGGCGCGCCGCATCCACAATGTCGTGCGCACGCCAGACGCCATCGTCGGCCATCCCGTCAAACTGCGCGGGGTCGGAGCACGAGACGTTGACCATGCGCGCACCAGTCGCATGGTCAACCAGCGAATCAGCCACGCGATCTTTGTGCAGCGTCGCGACTTTCTTGCACGATGCCAAAGCCGTTCCTATGAGAGAAAACTTGCGACGCCACTTTGTCACTGATCAACCAGGGGTATTTGAAATTCACAATCCTTGACTGACTACCGCACGACACGCTCGCGCCTGCAGTGAAAACGCTGCCGGTGCCGAGCAAGAGCGAGCGCAGATGCGCCCTGGCCGCGCCGGGGCCGCACCCCCGAAGACCTTTAGCAACGGTGGCGCGAACCACGCCAACGAGCAGCCATGCCTCTTCGCATCTCCGGTAGTGTCCAGTATCCCATTTGCCGACAGACCAGCACGTTGTCCTTCGTTTCTGGTTCACTCTTAAAATGTCGCCCGGCACCACGTCATCTATGTAAAGCGCCAGGCGCCACGGCCCGACAATGGAATTTGGCATCTTTGCCGGGGCATTTTGGAACGGCTGTCTGAAGCCCCCGCATTAGGCAAGACACCTGGGAAGGAGACGCTGGCACTTGGCGATGGTCCAGTAAAGGCGTCGCCATTTGGCCTTTGCAAAGGCAGTTGGACGAGAACATCCTCAGCGAACTCACCCGCGCACTCCCGCGCTTCTCGCCGAGACACCGCGCCAGCATGCGCGTCTCCGCAACCAGATCGCTTCCCACAAGTTTTACTGATTGTCCGAAGTTGCAGATACATGGAGTTGTAGCCGCCGCATCTGGAGACGGAGGCGCCCAACGCATGCATGCCCACGACGCGGGACCGCTCGGATTTTTGTGCTCCGCCGTGCTCAACAGCTTGGAAAGGATCGCGGCAGCTTCTAGCGAAGCCTTGACAACGTTTTCCACGTCACCCGCCCAGGTCTTCACTTTACCCTCCTTGCCGCGCTTGTCGTGGACTTTTTTGAACTCGGAGTAGATCTGCTCAAGCTCCTTGGGCCTCTTCCTGGCTGGGTCGACGCCGTCCTTCGGCGCGTGCTTCGAGATCGGATCCTGGAGGTCTTGCTCGAGAGAGAGATTTTCGGCCTCCCGATATTGCGCAAAACGCGGGCCGCCAGGGCCACATTAATCTTGGCGAGTTTGTTTGTTCAAACTCGAGCTTTTTCTTTTTTTCTTCGCCGGCAAGGCCTTGACCTCAGCAGACCCCGAGCCCGATTTTGAATCCGAGCTCGAGACCTGGCGCTTCTCAGATTTGTGTTCCTTCTTCTCGCGCTTTCCCCTTTTCTCCTCACTATCCTTCATACTTCTCCGGCTTTTTGTGTATAGATGTCTTGCCGTCCTCGGACTTATTGCCCTTCTTGTCGTGCTTTGTGCTCGCGTTGCCCTCAGAGTCGGACAAGCGGCTGTCGCTTTCAACTGCATCTGCGGCTTTTTTCTTCGACTGCGTCGGCCGCGGCGCATTGGCCTTCGTTTTCAACTCCTCAACCTCGGCGCGGGCGAGCTGCTCGATCGTCTTAGATAGCCGCTCCTGGTGTCCACGCAATAGCAAGTTCCGGGCACTTTGTGCTCCTCGGTGTCCTTGCGCTCCTTCTCGATGCTTGCAACGTCGGGTCCGCGCGTCGTGTGACAAAGGCAGATTCTCGCCGCCCACTTGGGCGACCTCCTGCTCGACCCGGGTCTTCGTGAGGGTCTGGGCGAACAGCTCCTCGAGCTGACCTTTACCAGCCTTCTCCTCTGCGTCCTGCCAGAACTGCGCTTGCAACGCAGGGTCGAAGCTGGCAGACGGCCAGAACCCGAACAAATGGTTTAGCTGCGTCCCGCGCGTGTTGCACTTGTCGCACTTCCACGAGCCGTGGCTTCTCCCCATCAGTGGTGCCCTCAAGACATCGACATCTTGCTAGCACCTGTAGCACGTGGGCGTTGACGGCTCATTATGGACAACAAGAGCTGTCCCGACGAAGACCTCGCCAGTGCTCGGCGCCGCCGCCGCCGCTTCGACGCCTTCGGCGCTGGTCTCGGGAGTGGTGCCATCGACGTTGGGCGCCTCAGACATGGCAGCAGAGCCTGCGACGAGACAGTCCCCGCGCCATCGACGCCCTCGACATCTTTCAGGTTGGCCACATCTGGGGCGGCCGCTGGCGCAAGCGTCGTTGCCGCCAGGTTCGCAGGTGTTCCTCCCTTCCCGACGCAGCCTGCCTCCTGAGAGGTAACCGACCCTTGCGCAGGCGTTTTGACGCGCGTCCACCAGGCAACCGTGGCGCCGTTCGGCATCTCAACGACGTGCGTTGTGGGCGCCTCGCTCTCCCGCCCGCGACTGCCGACGGCCGCCTGCCGGGAACGTCGGTTTTGCTCTCTCGAGCGCTGGGCCCCGGCCCTCTCTTCCGCTCTCGCCGCCCGCTCCGCCCGCCCAGCTCGCGCTGGGGGGCGCCTGGGGAGGCGGGCGAGCTTGCTGCCGGGACCTCCTCGAGCTTCTCGTGGGTTCGGCGCTGCCGCGACGGGCGGCATCGCCCCCGCCGCGCGAGTGCCTGCGGGTTTGGGCCGGTGGCTTGGAGGCCGCGCCGCGCGCCTTGAGGGGCGCCCGGGATCTACGAACCGGGGCGCCTCGGGGACGACGTGGTCGGGCGGGGCGCCTCGGGGACGACGTGGTCGGGGCTCCTCCTCCTCCTCCTCCGCTCGCCTCCTATAAATCCTCATCTTCCTCCTCCTCCCTCCTCCTCCTCCTCCTTTTCCTCCCC